ATGTCTATCTGAGAGTCAGAATGATAGTTCACTCTATTCTAAGCACAAACTGCTTAGCCTTGTTTCTGAATTTTCCTGTCCTACCCATCCTCATCAGGAAGACAGTACAGCTGGCCCAGGCAATTCATGTTAGCTTGCAGAAAATTACCAGAGCTGGCACATAAAGTGGAAATAACTATCTGATGTGCAAATCACTAGCATGTAAAAAACCCCATGAACATACAATGCTATTATGGGTGCACAAAGATATTGCCATGCAACTAGATCAGTGGTCCTTTTAATCCAATGCTGACTAACCCACCAATTACTGAAGGGCAGATTTTTTAGTATCTGTTCCTTTTGTACCCATTTTTCTGATCTGTTGATAATCTAAGAAGTTGTATTATAACAACTTTTCAGAGTAGAAATGTGTTGAAGTCACACACAATTATGGCTCTTAGTACTGGAAAAAAAATCTAGTGTGAGCCTCATGATTATTCTGCTATAATATTTATCTACAAGCTTTTTTCATTAATTTGCTATAAAGCAATTCCAAGTGAGCCTTGTGGAATTTCTAGTATTTCTTTTTTCTGTGGAAAGAGTCCCCTTGCATAGAGTTTGGGTCGAAGAGCTGAGATACTATTCATATTGTGTCATTCATACAGAAAATGGGTGGGTTTTAATTTATAAAATAAATATGCCAAGAATAGGCCTTAGTTTATTCACATCTATGTATATCCATGATAAATGGGGGTGGAGGGCAATGAAAGTATCAGAGATAAGATGCCACAAGATGCCAAGAACTGGTACAATACTTCAATTAGAATCATGTTCCCATTTTTCTCGACTCAAATACTTCAATCCATTCTGTTTTAATTAGCATCTTCCCAATAGCTTGAGTGTTATATAATGTTAGTGAAAAGTTAGTGTGAGATTGAAGAACAAAGCACTTTATTTCAAAGCCTAATTTTTCAATTTACAGGGAATGAGAATTTTGGTGGAGTTTCAGCTGGTGATTTCTGTGGTTGCCAGTCTGGCATGATCCCTTTTTGAGCAAGCTGAGATCAATCATAGAAAGAATTTAACAACTTATAGGGCCAAATTAATCTTGGGTAAAATTCCAAAGTTAATGTAGTGATGTTACATTTTGGCCCACAACTTAGTATAACAGGAAAACAGAAAACATCCCCTTAGTATTCTTTTACAACAAGGAAAATGCCCACGTGGATCCAAACTACGCAGCAGTGATCTGTGGAGTCAGTTTATACACAACACATGAATTCTATTTACTACCAGGGACTCTGTTTACAGAAATCAGGATAAAAACCACTTCAAATTCTGGTCATCTTCTGTGTTGGTTTTGGATTTTTAAGTATATAGAATATATTATGGCATGATAACCTGAATGACTCTTTCAAATGAGACAGCTGAATGGTGAAAAGCTCAGGAAAATTGTTGTTCTGCAATCACACACTCATGCATATTTCTGTTAAAGAACAGAATAGGATTTCCTCAGAAACACTGGTATATCCCTTAAAAAATGTTCGATCTGAGAAAACAAGAAAGACACATATGGACTGAGAAAAGGTGGAAAGAGGGACATATTTGAAGAAATAAATTCTGCTGCATTGTTGAAATGCCTGAAGAGGAAGGTAAGTGCTTACACAAAATAAAAAACAAGAGAAGACACTTTAGGGATTCAGAATCAAGGCAGACAGAGAAAATAGCTCTCATTAGACCTACAAGTACAGCTGGAAAATTCAGAAAAACTTCCAGTCTCCCCATGCTAGTGATCTAATGTAAAATATTACCTGTACCTTCAAATCTTGCCTTGATTCTGACTATCATGGCCACTGTATGACTACCACTGATTCAAAGCAAAGCCACAAAAGAATTCTGTACTCCTAGAATCATTGCAATTTAATTTAAAAACAAACAAACAAACAAAAAAACAAACAAGGAGGGTATGGAATTATGGTTAAAATAACATGTATATGCATCTATTCTTTTGCCTGGAACTACATGTTTCCTGTAAAAGTTTAAAAAAAAAATTATATATTTTTATTTATATATATATACACACTGGGAAATGTGTCAAAATATCTCAATCTCTTTGCTTTCATTCACCCTGAAGAAGTAATGTTTGCATTCAGAAGACCTGATCAAGGAAAGAATGCATCTAAAAGGATGTATTTTGTAGTATTTCCAGGGTTGAAGGAAGGATGTTAGTACAGATTCAGACAATTACAACAGCAAGGCCACACATTTTCCACTCTGATGGTGTAACAAAGAGCACAAGCTCCAGAAAGATGACAAATAATCTTAAGCAAAAAAATTATTCTGCATCTCATACAGACTAAAAGAAGCTTAAGATGTGATATAGATTTAGCATATTTGGGTTCAAAACAGATGCTTGATAAGTTCTTACAGCGAGGAAATGCCCTAGGATATCTGCCATATTTAATATTAAATTTATTTTTACTAGTAAAAATTAACATCCTTTCCATTAATAGAACTACAGAATTTTTAGGAACTAAAATTCTCAAGGAGATAATTTCATCCTTCACCCTATCTCAGGGCAGGATTAGGTCTGCTTAAATATCTGCGGCATCTTCCATCCACAGTACTAAATACACTCTGAACATAAACCAACATCCAATCACATCTATGGAAGAGGTATTACTGCAATGCAAGAGCATGAGAACCCCTTATTCTTGCATAGAAATCATGCTGCAGTTCAAAGAAAATAAGAGCTGTATCCACATCTGTGAGAAATTTGAAATAAAAATAAGATGTAAATCATAAATATTAATGAAAATATAATTCTTATTGTGAGTTCTCTATCACTTGCAATTAAGGAAGCAGGGATCCTTAATACAGTTATTATAGTTCAGGGGAGAACTACAAGCACCAAGCTTAGCTCACTGGCCCAGGTTCTCCCACAAGTAGGATGCAGGAGGTCAGTGAAAGCTATCATAAGGCTTAGAAGGCTAGGAGTATGCAATCCGGAAGCACTGAGGCTGACAGAGCTGCTCGCTGAGAAAATGCTACAGGACGATAAGTAAGTCTAGCTGTCACCCTAAGGACACGACCGAGTCCCACACAAGAGAGTAATCGGTTAGCCTTGACCTAGGGGCACGCTTGCCACCTACTGGTCAGCAGATGTTCATCACCCTTCTAAAATACTTGCCTAGTATTTGTCTAATCTAGTCCACCATGTGCAGAAACTTTCCTGTACTATCAGCACAACACATCCTTCTCTCATCTGCAGCATTAGTCAGACCAAGAAAATCCTGGAGAGATCCCAACCCAATTTGCAAGAAGATCTCTGCAAAACCAGCTGTGGTCATGGATGGTTCCCAGCTGCTGCTGCCTTTCTCCCACCCTCTTTCCACAGCCTTCAAATTCCACTTGTAAACAGGAGTCTGAAGATGCGTTTTACAACTGGCCATCTTAGTACTAATGCAGGGTATACAACGGTACACTGCAGTCTCACCAGGCCTATCTAACCTACCCCCCATTCCCACTTGTTCTCCTGGAAAGCACTTGTGTTTACACTGGCAACTGTTGCTTAGCAGATACGGATCTTGCCTGTTAAGTGCACTGAGTGAGCTCTGAACTTGTGCTGAACACAGACTTCAGTAAGAGTTTTTGCTGCCTAAGAAACAAACTGAGTAAAAGCACAAGGAACTCAAAGCCCTATAGATTGCTGTCCAGAACTTACAGACTGGTGCCTAGGGCAGCTTGAAATATTTCCTTAAAATTTATTTTGAACAGGAAATTGGATTTAACACACACCCTGCTGTCTACTTTTGCTTCAACCACAATGTGAGTGATTTGATTGCCTTTTGCCCTCATACTCTTGCACAGCCTGTGGCTTCCCTCCCCCACAGAAGCAAAGGCTACCTACCTCAGGAAGCGCAATGGACAGACACTTGTGATTCATCCTTACAGTAAGGAGGTACCTATCGAAACATGACAGGAGCTACTGTAGTTGAGTTCTGAGGCAGCATTACCAACCTGGATGAACCAGGTTTTCAACAAATATGAGTTACCACTGAAATTTCCACTGGAAAAGTGTGCTTTCCTTTCTTAACAGGAAAAAATATCTAGCCTTTTTTCTTCTTAAATGATTCTATGCACTGGTGCATGGCTCTCTGAAAGTGTCTGTTGTAAAAAAATAAATAAATAAAATAAAACATGATCTTCATTTCAGCCCAGCACCTTGTAACTCCACAGAATTTCTACTTCTGCTAATACCAGGTGACATCTATGTACTTAGTAACAACTGCATGGAGAAAATCCTCCAGTAGAGGCTGGCACCCTCTGGGCAGCAACAGAGTAAGAGATGCTTCTCTAATAATTGTCTATGCCATCCTCATTAGGAGCATAAATGGTGGACCTCAAGGTAGAAACACAAGTCTCTGGCTTAAAATAGACAGACTTGTCATAAAAACCTGTTCTGAAAGTCTTCTAATATGAAAGAATAAATCCTGGACTGCTGATGTGATAATGCTAGAAAAGAAATAGATGCCAATGACATTTTCATTAACGATGGGGATAAGAGATTAATCTGCCAATACCTGTTACATGCCAATTGTGTAAAGAGAAACTAAAGTTAAATCCAGTCTCGCAAAACCTTTAATCCTGGGGCTGAATAATGGATGTCCTATCATATGCCAGTGAAACTAATGGAAGAGGAAGGTGCTCTCCACCTCAACCAACCACCCCCTTAGAGCAAAATTAATCTTCTGCCCATGTCAGTTAGCTGATGTAGACTTCTTTCACAGTCAATTAAAAGCAACTAGCACCCCTAGAACACAGACCATATGAATAATCCTGGACATCTACAGTAGAGTGGGACAAATTAAGCTAAACTGAATGGAGTCTGTGTATCTTGTCTCCTAGTTCCTTACTTCCTGTAATTCTGCACCATTGATAGTCTGGTAGGACACAAACAGAGGCAATTCTTGCTTCTTAAAAAGATAAACAAAACAAAGTTTTGTCACTAAAGATGAAAGATGGGGAGCCCAGCAGGGGCTATTCTTGTCACAGACTGGAATATGACAGAATGTGGATCCAGAATGGAATCCAAGGTGAGAGCTTGTTCTTGAGCTGACAGAATGGACTGGGACAGTAAGTGCTGCTTCTCAAGAGGTAAAGCTTTGCCTGCCAACAATAGGCACTGCCTGATAGGCCCAAACTCTTCTCTCAACACTAAGAGCCTTCCAGGGCTTTGGATCAGCTCTGAACATTATGCTTGCTCTAACACCTAAACACCACTATGACTCTAGGTTTTTTTGGGCATTAAGATAATTTCACTATTGTTCAGAAAAACTAAATGAAACACAAAAGCCTTTTTTACTGACCATATATAATTCTTGTCGCACCATGTGTTTTGGATGGAATGTGAATAGGTTTTTTAGAGTTCGGCCATCAGTTTCTGAGAGAACCTGCAGCCCACTGCAATTCATTCAGTTAATTTCTAATTAGTAAGTTACATACTTAAGGAATGTTCTTGTATGGTCCCAGCTAATTGTGTAGCAATACATAGCAAGGTATTTTTGTGAGGGAAAAAATGAATGAGCTTTGCTACAATAAGTAATAATGAGAAATTTGGACTGTAGTCCAAATTCAGTAATAATTTATGTTTCATTAACTTCCCTGGAGTTTTAACCTTCATTAGCCCTGCTACTGACTTTATTATTGAAAATAACGAGTCAGGCAAAATTATTTTAATGTAGATAGATCTAACCCTAAATGGAGTTTAAAAATTATTTTACCATAGAACAAAAAGAATAGATACTACCCCTGGTTCCCTATATCCTCTCTGAAACATTTACTATGCATTTCCTAATTTATGTTCTACAACAAAACACAAGCACAGGTCACAATAGTTCCTTTGTACAGATGTCTCTGATTCCATAAGAAAACATTATTTGTTTATTTGGTGATTTTTTTTTCACATATAAGCTGTTATTAAGGGTGTGTAACACTATACCACAACGATTTTAGCAGGAAGCTTAGATCTGCATTTTAAAATCTTGAATGCATTGCTCTGACTATAGGGAGACTTTCTCCAAGTCCTGGCTTGTAAAGCTTTGACTTGAGCTATTTAAGAACGGAAAAAAGGAAAAAGAAAGGAAAAAAAAAAAAAAAAAAAAAGGAGGAAAAAAAAAAAAAAAGAAGAAAAAAAATCCCTCTACTTGGCAAGAGCTTTAATTAGCAGAATTTTCCACGCTAGGAATATTATTCTGCATGAGCAGAAATTGCATAGCTCTTGCCTCTAGATGCCTTAGAGATGCCATTGATTGGCCATATTCAGAACAAGGGAATTATGTGACCCAGTGCTAATTTGAATTCCTTTACCAAACACATTTTTATTTCATCATCTCAGCTGCATAAAAGAGTCAAAGTACCAGAGCTTTAAAGACTTTGATTTCCTGCTGTTCTGCAAGAAAATAAGGCAAGAAATATTAGCCATCCCTGGCTGATTCTTTAATTCTTTCTCAACAATGTCAAAGTATCAGTGTCCTACAGGTTTTAGTGCAGGTTAAAGACTGATACAAAGTGTAAGCCTGAATAGGGGTTTGGAGTGAGTTAAGGAGAGAGAGAACATTTTAATGGGACACTGGTCCAAAATAGCCCAGCTTGTTCCTACCTCCTGCTGCCTCTTCCTCCTTTTCACAGGACCTTGATTGTATAGAAACAGTACAGACAAAAAACACAAACAACAAAAGGTTCGCTCACACCCCCAGTGGAGGTCATGAGCATGCTACCATGGAAAAAAAAAAAAAAAAAAGGAAAAAAAAAAAAAAAAGATGGTTTGGCTTATTTATAAGCAAAGATTAAATAATAAGAGGTTTGATACTTTACCAATGTACATTTGGGCAAATTTGTATTTGCAAATTGTTCATTTCATACACTCAAGGAGCACTGAGCAATGTGGCCTGTTGCTAATTTTCAAAATGAATCAAACCTTTCTTTGCCATGATCCAAAAACTACAAACTTGTGGTTCAGAGGCTTTCAATAGTATCAGCTCAGATTTGACACTCCAAGGTTAAAAAAATCACAAAAGAGTTGTGTTCAACACAGCAACAGTAGCTTTTTCCAACAATTTTTCAATTATTGCATTGCATACTCTCCAAGAAAAGTAACTGTCTTGGCTACTGGAGGACAAGCTTTAAAATAGGAGGCAGAGTGAACAAATTAACTTAAAATATATCACTCTCCTTATAGGTTGTCTTTAAAACTGCTTTTGCATTTATACCCACTGGGTGACTGTAAACTATGACTCAGAACTACCTGTGTCACATGATGAATAAGCGTAACATGCACCATTCACTTTTAAATCAACCCCTTCCGACCCAAGCCATGTAAATCCTTCAGAAATTCACGCCAGTATTCTCCTTCTTCAGATCACGCATAGAAATAGCCCAATGACGAAAGTTTACCCATGCACAGCCCCTTTAGCCCCTACTACTTAAGTATCTGCTTGGAATTATCAGTGACCCTTGTTGCACTCTCGGCTAGTTCTCGGCTAGTTCCAGAGTGTGGACCCACTGGGGACTTGTCTTTTCTTTGGGATGCTTGAAACAAACACTATTTACAGCGTTGCCTTTCCAAGACAGCACCGTCATCTCTGCCGATTGAAACAGACCCTTCCTTTCTGCACGTATATGCCCCCTCTTTCCTTCTCACATTATCCCTGCCATTCACCCCACTCCCGTCCTTTCCCACCGCCTGCCTGCCCGCTTGTTATCTATTGGCTACTGTCTTTCAGAAATCATTTTCAAGCACCTCGCTGGCGCTGGCAGCAAAGGTGCCGTCCTAAGCGCTCAAGCTGCCACAGAGGCGGCGGTGACATGTGTCTCCAATCAGCGGCTGTTCGCTAATTATTTTAGATCCTTTGCCCTCTACGCTTTAAAGACCGGGGAAGGCCCACGTTAGAAGAATGCAGCGTCCCCTCCCTAGAGTTCCCCTGCACCCAGACCCCTGGCGCTGCCGTCGCTCCCCGCTGCAGCCCTGCTCCGCCACCCCCGGGCCGCAGCTCCTTATCCCCGGACCCAGGGATT